TGATACGAAATAGCTCATCAAAAATTCCTGGACTGGAGAATTAGAAATAATACCGTGTCGTTTTCGGAACATATCCTTTTCAAGAATTATCAAATTCGATGAAATCATCATCACTCTGGTCGATATATTCCATGTTACGATCAACACTGAATATCAATCACAATATTAATATAGCAACATATCCCATTTCCCATTTCCTCAGAAGGAAATCGGATGGATTCCGAACTTCCGAAGTAAAAAATCGAAAATACTTGATGCTGAACAGATCAATTATTTTCTGCAGATTGCTCTTGTTGATGAATATTTATTCATGAAGGTAATTTTTCAAATAATATACAAACTCAACATTGAATTGATGAATTCCTTCTTCTTTAAATAACAGGAATAATTAGGAAAGATCAATCTTCGAAATGGTATTTATAAAATATCTGCTAATATACCAATTATTTACTGGTGATGGCTCAGTTGTTGGAAGCGCTGCCTAGCTGGTTCCCAAGCCAGGGGTCGGCGGTTCAAAGCGCAGTTGGCGAACTTTTTTTTATTGTTTTTGATAACGATTACAGAATCTCTCGTTCGCACTGTTTCAATAAATAACCATTATGAATGTTAATTCCATATTTTTACATAATGTGTTTTCTGCTATTGATAAAGTTGTTTAGATATGAAAAACAGCTCCATTTCAGTTCGAATTGAGGAAAATGTCTCAGTATGCAATGTATCAATAAACAAACACAAGAATTTCGATTTGTAACTTTTCATGCAGTTGGTTTAGTGACGCGAGACGTGTATATATAAGTATTCGTTATTTGTGCCATAATATACAATATCTGCACTATCCGGAAGAAAATATAGTGTAGTCGTAGAAAAAGTATAGTACAATTCTCGAGTTGTAAAGCAATTACGCACTTGTGGAGTTACACACTCGCCGCTATGCGGCATCGTGTGTAACTCTCTCCACTTCGTGCGTAATATGCGTTTTACAACTCTTGTTATGTAATATACTATTGCGAACATTGAAATAATTTGATATACAATCCATCGAAATATTTTATTGACAAAATTATAATTCCTCATAATAATGAATAATTCTGTAACTAACAATTTATCCTTAAAGTGCATTCATGAGGTTGCAGATACACTATAATTATGTTACATTTACAAGAAGAATCCAAATCTTCCAGTACATATAGGTAATCGTGTTATTTTCTTCCAGATACTGTGTTGCATCATCGGGTCTCAGATTTATGATAACAAACTTGTCACTAGTTTTTCAGGGGAATATGTGATAAATTTCAGTTAGATTCGATATTCTATATAAAAATTTACATTCTAAGCAAGCAAATATGTAAATTTATCGATATAAATCTAGTATATTCATCATATCTGTGGATGGAGCTCTTGATATTATTTCATCTTCGCTCCGCACTCATGCACCAGTATCTATCGCGCTCAGTCTCACTCACTGTGCATAGCCTATCTAAAGTTGCACGTTGTCATTCAAAGCGCTATAAAAAGTTTATTTTTGAAACGTGCGAATAGTTTATTCGAAACAAATTGTTTGTTATACTTCAATCTATCTAGATGAAAGAAAAAAATTGGAATTCATATCGTGAAAAAGAAAGTTATTATCAATTGAAGGGGTGTTAATGCTAAATTATTCATGTAATGCATGACAAAAAATTTATTTTTACTTATAAAAAACCTCATTTGGGCAGTTTATATACCATGAATCGAATCTTCATAATGTCCTCAACAAAATGATGAGAAGTTGAGGCATCTAAGTTATGTGGTCTACATGTTACAAAGTTTTATACATTTACGTGCGAAGTAGATTTTTTTTTGTAATTTTTGTGTTTGTTCGTTCATAACTTTTTTCGGTACCATAGAAAAAAGTAGTCAAGCTGGATTCTAATGAGTCAATAGTTTCTAGATAGGATAGTGAGGGTCTGATATCTTTCTACTCTCAAAAATTTTTTTGATAACCCTGTGTTCCGCTGCACTACATGCACTGGATTCCTGAGCTTGAATTGTAATCCTAGAATGGTTAGGAATAGACTCACTTTCTACCCACCTTCGTTCTCAACTAATTATTATAGTAATTCACCTCTAATAAGATGTATGAACTCGTACAATACAATTTGCCACTCTAATATTGATATATTTCACCTTGATATCAAAAGATTCAAGAAACAACTGAGAGAATTCTTGTTAAATTTTTATAGTAGGTATTCCTTGAATATAAAAATATAGAAATAGTGCTGGTATTCATTCATTTATGATACTTAAGTCATATCGAAATTGTAATTTTCCAGTGTGTGTCAAAATACTATACCAATGTATATTTCATATATGTTGATATTGTATATACCGACGTTACTGTTCTTTTCTTCAGATTGTTATTTTTGAATGAAAGTTATGGAATAGGTAGGTACTTAGTTTTTAAATGATAGTATGTAGGTGCAACCCATGTGAAGACAATAATTTTGTATCACTGTGTTATCCTGTCTATTTATATAGTTCCTCTGTTGGATAACCTTGTTTTCTAAATAAATAAATATGACTACTAGCAGTCTAGATAGAGTAATAAATCAGTGAACACAACTGTCTCTATTATGTACAGAAGATTGATTTCGATATTTTGATTTTATTTTTGCAACCACTCCCACGCTTTTTCCCTATGATCGCGGGAGCTCCATCATCTGTGGTGATATCGCTCAACTTTTATATTTTCTGCTATATCTTTCACAAATTTACCTTCTGAGAATGGCTTTGAATGTTCCGCCACCATCTTACTAATAAGTACTAATTATATAAATAAGACCTAGGTTGCCCATGCCTGGTGTAGACCTTTCAATGACAACATTTTCAGTCTCACCAGTTCGCGTTACTAGAGCGTGACGTCAATGTCGAAGTCAAAAATCTCATAATTTTGTAAAGGCTGTGGCCTGTTTCATCGATTATATTCGGACTAAATGATGTGTCCTATTTCAACAAATAGAAAAAATCAAGTTATGGAATGATTTAAGCAGACTTGCGTTTTTTACTTTCAACAATAAAATAATGTTACCCTTCATTCCCAAACTGATATATCATTATTCTTGAAGAAAACAATTGAAGGAGTGCCCAAAAAATATAAAAGGGTTTTAATTAAGTGGCCAGCGTAGTCTCGTGGTTAAAGCGTCATTATTCTATCTACGTTGGATTGCCGGTTGGTGGGTTCGATTCCCACCACGACCGCAGACATTTTTCTGATGGCCTAAGAAAGTGTAGGGATCACACGTTAAAAGGTAAGATCCCCGTCATTCCTTGCTCGCACAAGTCTCTTGAAGACTTTTGAGGGTTGCTCGTAAGGGGGCAACCGAATGATGGATAAGAACAATTTTGAAATTCGTTATTTTGATCACAATTTTTAATAATCATTTTTCATTTCAAATATAAGATATGTGGATTATTTCCTTTTTTTCAATCCACATTACGTTTGTTCTCTGTTTCGATATTTTTTTAAACAAAATATATGTCACAATGAATTGTTGATTTTTTTGTTATCTGGATCTTTCAGAAGTTATATTTGAGCAACGAAGAGGCCAAGCCCGAGAGCTCTAGATCGTGTAGTCAAATCTTCATTGTAACATAAGTGTTGGTCAAAAATCAAGATTCAAAGGGATTTGGAAGTGACTAAAAGTTGAGTGAAGATTGAAAATTCATTCATATAAATACAAACCCCTGACTCGCTAGGTATAGTGGAAACCTTGAGAGATTGATGTGTGCGAACTTTTTTATTGTCTAGAAGTAAACAGGGTCTGAAGTACCTATTTGAATCTGTCCTCTCAAACTTTGGGTGGATTTTCTCATATTTCAATATATTATGTGTAGCAAGGACAAAGCAGATGATTTGCCCCAAAATGTCATTGCGTTTGAAAATTTCACTATTATAGATTCTAGACGTAAAATTCGGTCGATAGTCAGTGACACCTGGTTTTCAAAAATGCTCGGAAAAATGTTTGGAGGAATATCGAAAATATATCAAATTTCCACTTAGCTACTAGTCCAGTTTATTACTAGTTTTCAGTGATGCATTTCCTGAACAAAAATTAACAATGAATTCGAGAAATTGAAATAAATCGAAATTTCATTAGAGGCGTCGAAAATATGAGAGGAAAAGTAACCTCAATGCCCTATTGCGCACCACTGGATGAAATATCCGGAATTACTTTTTGGTAAAAAAAAAATGACCCATTCGATGATGAAACCATATATACCTAATTCGAATACAAAATATTATTCAGTCGATCATTCTTGAGGTATTGCGAAAAAACTATTTTTATTTCTCAACTTCAACACTCTGTATCTCCAGTAATCACGAAAGAGCGAAGGCTATCCACATATATCACCTATCAATCGTTGTCAGTCGAATTTCGAAACACCCTGTTCATGAATATAATATGAAAACTTCTTAATTACAAATACAGACACTTCATTGTTTCTTTTACAATGATGCTTTATAATAATTGACTACCGAAATGATGCTATTTCACCTCCATTCAATGAATTTATTTCATTGGAAGTTTACGGTGTTTCCATTTGAATACAATTTTGAAAATGTGGAATATCAGACGAGTCAATGATAATATGAACAAACAAACTGTTCTTTTTAGTTCAATTGAAGATTATGTGACTTTTTTCAACAGAATTGAAGAGATAATTCGGGATTATCATTGGTGTAGAAAATATGGGAGGAAAGTAACCACAACCACCTGTGGCGCATTACTGGATGAAATTACCATGTATCATTGAAGATGAGAATTTATGTAGCAACATCGTTTGAGAAATTTGCAGCCGTTTTTTAACCACTTAATTCTTCATTCAATAAAGAGGCCTATCACCTGTGAAGGTGTTGGTGGAATCCTGTATAATTACTCATGATATGGTCTTCCTAGCTCATGAGAGAAAATAGGAGAGTGAATACAAATAATCGATTTTAATGTTTTTTTTTGTTTCAGCACTATCCAACTCCAGGTTCATAACAATGGTGACTTTAGTTGGTGTTGCATTATCAAATGTTTTGTCTCTGTACTTCGCTTACATTCTTTATTTCATACTATATGACTTGTGTGTAGTGTGTGTTTCAATTTATGTAATCAATGTGATTAATTTGATCTTGATTCGGCTCAAGCTGAAATCTATCAATGCAATTGAAGAGAAATATTCTACAGTAACACAAAAAAAGAGGAATTAGTTCTCACGTAGGTACTTGAGAGGGCTCTTATGCCTAATTCTGTATCTGTGCCTGATGTATATGGTTGCCAAACTAATGTTCTTATCATGTTTATGTTTTGTTATTGTTGAGTTTTTTATCTGAATATTGATAGTAAATGAGTAAAGATTTAACGATTCTTTTAGTGTCAAATTCATTTCATCAGCCCTATTGACCTCGTATATCAGATATACAGAAGTATCTACAAAAAAAATACTAGAATTCATGTATGATGATAAAAGACCTACAATCCTAGGGAAAGTTGAACAAATGCCACGATATCACTCAATGGAATGTTTCTAGCAGTAGCCTACGCTGCCTGAGGCCCACAGGTAATACACCAATCGACATACTTTTCAAATAAGAGTTCGTTTTTGATGCCTCGATTCTTCCTGTTAACAAATTCATTCAATCCCAGCAAATTCAGTTACATCACAGAGACATGGTAGCTATGTATGTACTATTTCGCATAGACGTCGCTGCGATGTCAGAGGGATGTTATTTTGTCCCACTCAAGTTTCATCCATGCGACGTCACTGCGATATGTTTTATATAATAGCGAAATATTTTATGCAATGTTATTGCGATGTCATTTGTGATGGAAAAGCGATGTGTTTTTGAACGAAAACAAAGTTTCCTGATCAATAGGTACCCACACCGGGTGACCAGTGACTCTTGTTACGATGTTGTCTGTCATAGACGGTATTTTTTCTACTCGATTCATAATGCTCAATAAAACGCTAGTTGATTTATACACTTCATTTATTAATAAACTCCGACTGATGTGATATATACAGAGAACAACCCGAATTCGTGTATGTCTATACGACAGGTTCTTAAAAACATAGTACTGACTAACTCGAATTGGTGCCCAGAAGCGCCGCTTGCACTAGCCAAAATATAAAACAGATGTAATTTATGCCCACATTTGGTTTTCTAAACATACTTCAAATATTTGGCGTGCCACTATACCATCCTTGCCAAGATGTAAGTCTACAACTGCAATAAGTTTTGAGCTTCGGTACGCCATTTTGTTTGCTGTTGCAAGGTGGATAGGTACTCTCGGTGCCAACGCCCCCGAAAATGCTGGACTATTTGTTGCAGAACTCGATACTTGTTCAATCGATTACATGCAATTTGCGTTATGTGAACATTCTCCACAATTCTATTGATATGATATTTTGCAGATTTTATAGCATCCTCCCATAACCAACCTTGATGAGGAGAGCGAGCTGAAATAAAATGCCATTTTATACCATTGTCGATACAATAGATATTCACCTCGGAGGATGTAGTGATAAAAGAGATTTCTGAATTTCTTTATTCGCAGCTATAAATTTGCCGCCATTGTCAGAAAAAATGTCTGAGCAAAGCCCGCTTCGAAAAACGAACCTTTTGGAGCCATTTGAAAATACCTCACAAGTGAGATCACTCAAAAGCTCTAAGTGTACTGCCTTGGTACAAAAACAAACAAATATACATAAATAAGCCTTTACAATGGCTCGATTTCTCAACTTCCCATCTTTCAAATTGAATGGGCCAGCACAAATTGAAAATGGATGATTCTGAATCGTTCGTTGCCTTGGAAGTTCGCCCATTTTTTGCTGCTTGGGATTGATCTTGTAACACGTTATACACTTTGTTAAAACACTCTAAGAATGGGTCTAACGCTTTCAATCTACTAGTAGTTTCCACTGAACCGTGTTTCTTCAATTTCGATATTTCTGGGGCAAATTCGTGTTTGTGCATTAATTTCAATGCCTAGTGACATCGTGACCATTTAAATTCCCTCTGAAGTCAGTAAAGCTCGAATCCGATCATTTTTCAGTAACCCCATATTCTTTAATAGTCTTCGGCAACAGGCTACTATACCTTAACTAATTTGGAAAATGATGAAAATTGTTCGAATATGCTGAAATCCTGTTCTACGTTCGCTAACACCAAAGACACCTTTTTCTTTTCAGAATAATCTTGTTCATTTGGAAGAGGCCATTTATCCCTACCCTCATATAAAAAATCAGGACCTGACCACCACAGCCTCGAACCTATCAACTGTGTTGATTCAATATAATATCAGCTGCATTTTTTCAGAAAGAACATGGTTCCATTTCACTAACTTTGTTAGCGACTGAATTTCGCTCACCCTGTTGGTCACAAACGTATACCACGTACAGGGTTGATCATCCAACCAACACAAAACTATGGTAGAATCGCACCAGAAAAATGTTTTTTTGGAGCTACATTGAAAGATTTATAAATTTTATCCGCTAATCTTGCTAGCAAAACTGCCCCTAATAATTGTAGTCTAGGACGGGATACCGTTTTAACCGGAGCTACCCGCGACTTAGCACATAACAATTAACACGATATTTGGCCGGCATTATCTACTGCTTTGATTTGATATTGTATACAAGCTCCATTGGCCTTTTCAGACAAGTCCGAAAAGCCATGGATTTCAATATCTATCCAAACACTGTTGGTTATACTTGGCGTGGTATTTCAATTTCGTTTAATATATACAAATTCTGATATAGCTTGATCCAACTAGTAACCAAGTCCAACGGAACTGACTCATCCCGATTTAAACCTAATTTCCACAGTTTTTGCAACATTATTTTCGCCAGAATCATCACCGGTCCTATCTAGGCCTAACGGGTCAAAAAGCTGTGACATCACATATAATATTACCCGTTTTGTAACAACTCTACAATAATCCGATTTAATATTAACTTAGAATTCAAATGTATCAGCTTTGGCTTTCGAAAGAATTTCAAAGGTTCATTTGTTATGAAGTATATATCCGGTTTCAAATTCTGATAATGCCCTCAAAACTTCGATTCAATTAGAGGACCCGAACCCTGATAATTTCAACTTATTTCGTGCTCCCCGGCGTATTTTAATTGCATCTTCGATATTATTTCCAGTAACTGAAAGATCGTCTATATAAAAACATGAAGCAATCACCTTACTCAAATCGGGATCGGATTCCTCCAATTCGACAGCTATTTCCTTCAGACAACGTGTAGCTAGAAATGATGCAGGAGCGGTACCATATGTTGACGTATTTATCCTGTAATGCTCGATATTGTCATCTGGTTGAAATCTCCATACGATTCTTTGTAGGTTCCGCTGTTCTGATGACATTTATCTTCCTGTACATATTAGCTATGTCCCCTGAAATAACTACATTAACTTTTCTGAATTTCAATAATATAGTGAATGAATCCTCTCGAATACTCGGGCCGACCATTAACCTCTCATTCAACGATATCCCACTTGAAGTAGATTTACTGGTCGTGCTATTGTTATTGACAACCCCATGGTGCGGGAGATAATATGTCAACTTCGGTCGGTCAATCTCGATTTTTCAATTTTTGACATGTGCCCCATTCCGATATATTCTCTTATGAATTCATGATATTGTTTCTTCAGTTCCACGTTCCGATTCAATTTACGTTTCAATGACATAAATCGTCTTATAGCTATTTGTTTTGATTCGCCTAATTCGCCTCATTTACGGGCAAACTTATCTTGAAACGTCCTGTTTCATCCCTAACAAAAGTTTCGATAAAATTCTGTTCACATTCTCCGATTTTCCAAAATTTTTTTAACTGTTCTTGAATCGGTTCTTGCCCTATAGAAAGGTGACAACTCACCTTGCTACTGTAACTACCACGAATTGCTACTGGACCCGATATCAGAATTTGACCACTACATAACAATGAAAAGAATAACCCTGCAGCTATCAATATATCTATTTTTGAGGATAAGTTATAATCTGGGTCTGCAAGCGTTATATTTTCGGGTATTGTTATATCTGAAGAGTCGAAGGACTCGAATGGAATGTTCGATGTTATATATTATCAAGTTCTAAAAATGAAACATTCGATTTATATCGATTATACATTGATTTTATATTGACATTCGTCTTCCGATTAATATTGGTCGATACTTGATTCACCCCTACCTACCACCGGCAGGTGAATTCTACTCACTTCCAATCCAAGTTTTTTCATTAACTCTGTGGTTGTGAAATTAGATTGCGACCTGTTATTTAGCAATGGTCGACATTGATGCCAATTATTGTGGGAATCTTGAATTGAATGATTTACTTGAGCTGCATGCGTTGCAACTTCAGGCCTGGCTTCTGTAGTTGATCTAGTAACTGCATTACCTACTACTCGAGACAACATTACTTGGGGAGTGTGTTGATCTTTCAAAATGCAGCAAGGTGTTATGTCTCTGACCACAAATCTTGCATCCTTCCGAAATACAATCCCTCGCCAAATGATTCGATCTCAAACAGTTTGTACATAATTTTAATCGCCGGGCTTCATTCGCTCTATCTCCTGGTGAGAAAGAATTTTTCACAAGTGTACCTATATGAAATGTAGCCCCTTGCAATAACAACATTTCACTCCTCCTTATCAAAACTCCTTCATCCATAGAACGGCTAGGTTCTGGAATTCATTGCCTGAGGAAGTATTCCCAACAACATATAATCTCCAGAAGTAAAAAAAAAATACCAATACCTACCTCCTGTACCTATCCTCCCTAGGAACTCACGATGTTCTTTGAACATTATAGGGATTTCCTTTCGTGCGCTCCAAGCGATAAAAAACATAAAAAAAAACTTCGGAATCATGAAATATCATTGGACCAAACCATTGGCGCAAATGAGATTTTAATCCCTACATTTATAATCAGTTTCTAATGGCGTTTCTGTCTCTTTCTCTCATGAGCCTAAACTGGGTTTCGCGGATATATTCATAATCAGATCTTGATAGTAATTCCTTATTCCTAATATATGAGAATGTATTATAGTCGACTTGGATAGTGAATCAGTAATTCCGTATGAAAGCACCGTCGCATTTATTAGCATAAAATGTATTCTGCAGTTACATTTATCATCAGTTTCTAATGGCAATTGTTGATGGACTCGGTCAGTTTGAACTGTAATTAACGGATACATTCGATCATAATCAGATTTTAATGACGATTCCTTATTAAAACATCGTGAATTCATGCTTTCAAAATATGTTCTGCAGATACATTCATGATGAGTTCCTAATAGCAATTTCCAATGTCTATGAGAATGAACTACCTACGTTTTACAGATACATTCATAAACAGATTATGATGG